AACAAAACAAGGAAACACTGCATGGTTCAAATTTAGGAAGGCCATACGCCAGGGATGTATGTGCCCTATCTCTATACCTTTTCAACCTATATGAAAATAGATCATCCAGGAGGCTGTGCTCTATGATGAGAAGTGTGGCGTCAGGATTGGTGGAAGATCTATCAACAATCTGTGTTATGCAGATGACACAACGCTGCTTGCTGAAAATGAGGAGGACCTGAAACACTTGCTGCAGAGGGTCAAGGACTGTAGCCTTCAATATGGATTGAGGCTCAATATCAGGAAGACAAAGATTCTCACCACTGGACCAACTGACATAATCAGGATGGATGGTGAAGCCATGTAGACTAAAGCTGTGACCACTCAATCTCTTCACCATTCATCCTGATGCTGCCAATTGGTCCAGTGGTAAGAATCTTTGTCTTCTTGATATTGTTTTGTTGTTGTTTTGTTGTTTATGGGGATAGTTCCCCTTTGTAGAGTTAGTATAAGTGAAAATTGATCATCTCCTTATTCCTATTGTTTCTTTTACAGATGTTCAGATATTTCAGGAAGACTAATAGATCTATTCCTAGATTAAGAGTTTATTGTTCGAACAGAGCATGGTTTAAAGTAGAAAAGGTGTGTGTCAAGGTTGTAGCCTTTCTTAATTTATATTTATTCAGTCTATATGATGAGCACATAATTCAAGAATCTTGACTCCATGCAGAAGAATGTGACATCAGAATTGGAAGAAGACTCCTCAATAACATTCGTTATGTAGATGACACAACCTTGCTTGCTAAAAGTGAGGAGGACTTGAAGAGCTCACTGCACTGCAGAGGAGCAAAGACTGCTGGAATCGCAACATCAGGAAAACAAAAATTCTCACCACTGGACCAATAGACAACAGCATGATAGATGGGGGAAAGAATGAGACTGTAAAAAGCTTCATTTTACTTCAGTCCACAATCAATACACTTGGGACTAGCCAGTCAGGAGATCAAGAGACATATTGTACAGGGAAAGTCTGTCTCCAGGGACCTCTCCAAATTATTGAGGAGCAATGAGCTAGTTTGATGACTAAGGTATGTCAGATTCAGGCCATGGTCTTGTCAATCATTTGCTATGCGTCTGAAAGCTTGACAATGAATAAGAATGGCAGAAGAATTGATGCCTTAGAACCGTGGTGTTAGAGAAGTGTACTGAATATTCCAGTCATTGTCAAAAGAATAAAAAGATAATGTCTTGTGGAAGGTGCAACCAGAGTGCTCCTTAGAGGCTCAGAAGGGAAGCAGGGATATCATAGGAGAGGACGATGAGATGAGTTGACCTGGTAACTGGGCCAATGGGACTAGGTGTGTCAGATTCAGTGAGACTGGGTCAGGGTAGGGTGAGTTTCAGAGTTATTATACATAGGGTCTTTGAATCATGGGCTACTCAATGGCACATAACATACTCATAAAGGAACCTTCTGGAAGCTACGTGTGACTTTCTAAAACAAAATGCACCAAGAAAGATATTAGCTGATGGAAAGAAGTGATTCAAAATAGAAAGGAAGCAAAGGTCCCAGGGCAGTAGGGTTGCACAGAGAATCAGATGTGTTATCCTGATCGAGACTTCTTTAGAAACAAGAAATGCAGGAATTCTTGAAGAATTGGGGCCATCTAAAAACCATTACTTTGCCAGTTTAGGATACATTACTGTTATAAATTAATATCACTGTGGTTCTTGGAAGGACGAATGGTGAAGATTCACCTAACATATTCTGGGCATATTCGTAGAATCAGCCTGCCTTTGGAGAAGGACATCATGCTTGGAAATTGGAAGGTCAGCAAAAGAGAGGAAACACTCGATGAGATTGATGGACGCAGTGACTATGACAATGGGCTCAAATGTATCAGGATGATGAGGATAGCATAGGACAGAGTAAGATTCAGATCCATTCCTCACCAAGTCACTGAGTTGTAGTTGCTGTAACAGCAATTAACAACAACAGTGTTACTCACAAGGAGACCTGGTGATACAGGTAAACACATGGCTGCTAAGTGAAAGGTCAATAGTTTGAACCCTTAAGCCATTCCACGTAGAAAAAGATGATGCATAAGGCTTGCACAAAGTCTTACAGTCTTGATGAACTTACGGGAGAAATGCTATCTCATTTTAGACTTGTTATGAGCATAAACCTGCCCAATAACATATAACAACTACAAGTGAAAAATTAAACTAAAGCATGAGACAGTTATCAATTCTAAAGAAACTGTGGTTGTGAAGAAAAGGATCAGATTTGAGCAGTGATTTCAGTTAAAATAAGGTAAGCACTGGATAGAAGCTGATCCAAAATTGCAATACAATCATACAAAGAACTGTATTCATAGCTGACCTTCTAGTGGGTTTTCATTGGCAGGTGGAGATTGCCTATGGTTGTTCGATCACACGATCACACATGAAGAGACTTTCCAACTTTCATCCATAACAGCTGATGAGTTCAAACTGTATGCCTTTGGTTTGGCAGTGTCATTCTTTTGTACTAAACAAGCAGAGTTACCTAAAAGGTTTCTACCTATAAATATATAATATAAAATTGGAGGGGAGCTCTGTTGGCCTAGTGGCAAGGAGCTGCAACTACAATCCCAGAGGCTCATGGTTCGAATCCACCAGAAGCTCTGCCGGGGAAGGAGGGACAATCTCCTCCTGTACCAGTCAGATCTGATTTGATGGTACACTCACACAAAAATAATAAAAATTTTTTTTTTAATTCTAAAAAAAAAATTGGGATGCTACAGGATCGAAAATGTTCAGATGTTTTGTTCATGGGGTTGCTATGTGTCGTACTTGACTTGACTGCACTTAACAACAAAAATTATTATACACCTGAAATGTACCTATTCTTTCTTGTTAGTGTTCGTTCTTATTAGTATATAACTTTTCTGCCAGTTTGCTGTACTAGGTTAACTTGATTGCTGTAATGCTGTTCAGTATGTCACTAATATTTCAAATGCCAGATGAGTTGATTACCTGTGGTGGACAGGTTTCAGCAGAGTTCCTAAATTAAGATGAATTAGGAAACAGGATTGTTTGTCCCCCTCTGAAATAACAGACCTCGGAAAAACCTATGAACATCTGGCATCCACTAGTTGCATTTTTAAGTTTAAACATTTCAGGTTAGATTCATTATCTTTTAAAAGGAATTATTTTGACATGAGATCATCAAAAAACTTAGTACAATAAGTTCTATTGTTCCTACTATTTAAGAGTTGTGAATTCTTATTATTTTATAGTCAATAAGTAAGTGTTGTGGTGGTGGTGGTGGTGGTGTTTATCACTGAGTCAAAACAGGTTTTCAGAGGTAGTTAATCACATGGGAGGAGATTGACCATCTTTCTCTCATGGGGCAGCAGGTAACCTCGAACTGCATGCCTTGTGAGATTGCAACACAGGTTTTTGCCACTAGGCCACCAGAGCTCCCATAATAAATAAATAGTCCTTGTTTAAAATTCATCTAAGAGGATCATTTGTTGATACACAAATTGAAAGGCAAGTTAGAAAGAAAGATGGTCAGAAACCATGAGGTTAGTCAAAAGAATGTCTTCTCAGGTAATTTAATGAGAACGGGGATTCTACAAATAACAGAGAATGAGTGTTTCTTTTTGTTTCTATGCTATGATCAATGCAGTCTAAATTAATTCATTAAAAAGAACCCTTATTATATAATTTGGGGGCAATATTGAAAGGTTAAGTCTAGGAAACAAACAAAAATAAAACTAGGAAGGGAGAGTCTATCATTTCTTTTTATAGTATAAAGTATATTCCTGGGTTCTCTGTGAGAGCCCTTGTGATGCAGAGGATAAGCACTCAGTTGCTAATATAAAAGCTGGCAGTTGTTCCACGAGAGAAGGATGTGGGAGCTTATCTATATCACAGCATTTAAAAGCTATAGGGCAGATCTACTCTGTAGATCTATATGAGTTGTGATTGACGCAGCAACAAGGATAATGTTTTATGGGCATAATGTTCTTATATTCTCTAGTCATTTACCCCTTTTTATTACGAGCCTGACAGTAAATAAAAACAAAGTAACCTGTTATGATAACCTGTTTTTGATAAAAATATTACCATTATCAGAATAGAAAAAACAATGGAATTACAGCTGTTGAAATAATTGCAACCTCAAATGATCTCTCACAAGACTCTGCCAAGGTTTAAAGTCCTTTGCTCAATTTAATACCCAACTGTCAACACCACTCACGTACAAAAGAGAAAATGACTTGAATCTGCTGAATGATTTATCTTGCTAATGATGGAGTCAGTGCAACATGAAGTGCTCAAAGCTTCCTAAGTGGTCTGACATATCAACTTATACAATACCAATGCACATTCTTCATGTTGTTCCCACTACCTATCCAGTGCAGACTTCTGTATCATATCTGACTTTGGTTGATTCCAATTCTTGATACTTTTTATCATACTAAAATTTAAATCATACTTCCCCGTCCCCTCTGAGGGTTAATAATGTAAGGAGTTCAGTGTCTCAATCCAGAATGTCATGATTATCTAGACTA